AAAGTGAGAGTGTGCAAATGAGGGCTACTGCACTGTATCTAAAGTAATAGACTTTTGTTTACACTGTATCTAAAATGAAAGACACTACGAATACTGTCTTGACCGTTGTATCTCTTAACCCGTAAACTGCAGAAGGGTTTTTTTGATCTTGGAGACTTTTCATGTACGCTCCTAAAAAAGTTCGGAAATTCAGGTTTGATCGATGATATTTCTCTTGTTCCTGCATTATTATCATTGCATTTGGTATCATTGGAAAGCCTGTTCATTTCCCTTCACAATGATGTCAATCAATTTTCAATGATTATGCAATATTGGGGAATATGCAGTACAACTGAAAATGCTGGACAGCTCAAAACAAGAGTCAATACAAGAGTCGAAACATTGACAAGAGTCAATATAAAGGAGAATACACTTTTGACAATAGGAATGCATTTGGCAACATTTTACTTAGGACCCACCCCCATATTCAGGTCTACCGGTAAGAATTAATTACAGAAACCTATGTTGAGATATCCCCTGACAATACTAAATGCGTTTTCATCACAAAATAAAACTCCTCTGGTGAGATATTGCGCATGCGCTAAACCAGTAACGTAGCCAGGTTATGTACTTAATGTTATATGCAGCAGGGAGCTTACATGCAAGGGCTGCTTCCTATTTCTGAAGTGAGGTCTACTGATGAAATTTTATCATATAGATCTATGCTAGGATAACCCCTCTTCATTTTAAATTCCGAATGTTTGCAAAATATTCTTCTTCTCGGGAGATATTGCGCATGCGCGAGCACCGTTTCAGACGTGCGGTACGGCCAAATGAAAAGTACGTAAATATAGCTTGCTGAGGGAGAGAGGGGTGGGAAACTGAGGGAAGATATCAGGGAACAGAGTCGAGGGGCGGTGGAAGGAGAAGGAGGCTGAGGGTGCGACAATGGAGACAAAGGGAAGGGCGGGCGGCAACATTTTTTTTCCCACTTGAGTTCTGGACCACAGCCAATCAGCGCACTCCATTCACTCGACTTCCTCGAAGCAACAATGTAAAATGAACACACCCTATCCCTAACCCTAACCCTAATCCTAACACGTACACGAACCCTAACACTAACTATAATCCAACCATATATATAAGAACCATTTATTACAAAACACTATCTATGGTGGGTCCTGAACTCAAGTGGGAAAAAAAATTTCGCGGGCGGGCGAGGATAAAGTAGGAGTTTTGCACCCTACAGGCTAGGGCGCTCTCCTTATGATAAACAGAGGTCTACTAATAAGAATTAATTACAGCAACCTATGTTGAGATATCCCCTGACAATACTAAATGCATTTTCATCATAAAATAAAACTCCTCTGGTGAGATATTGCGCATTCGCTAAAACAGTAACGTAGCCAGGTTATGTACTTAATGGTATATGCAGCGGGGAGATTACATACAAGGGCTGCTTCCTATTTCTGAAGTGAGGTCTACTGATAAAATTTTATCATACAGATCTAAGCTATGATAACTTCTCTTTATTTTAAATTCCGAATGTTTGCAAAATATTCTTATTCTCGGGAGATATTGCGCATGCACGAGCACCGTTTCAGACGCGCGGTACGGCCAAAGGAAAAGTACGTCAATATAGCTTGCTGAGGGAGAGAGGGGTGGGAAACTGAGGGAAGATATCAGGGAACACAGTCGAGGGACGGTGGAAGGAGAAGGCGGCTGAGGGTGCGACAATGGAGACAAAGGGAGTGGCGGGCGGGGATAAAGTAGGAGTTTTGCACCCTACAGGCTAGGGCGCTCACCTAACTATAAACAGAGGTCTACTCATAAAAATTAATTACAGAAACTTATGTTGAGATATCCCCTGACAATACTAAATGCATTTTCATCACAAAATAAAACTCCTCTGGTGAGATAATGCGCATGCGCTAAAACAGTAACGTAGCCAGGTTATGTACTTAATGGTATATGCAACGGGGAGATTACATACAAGGGCTGCTTCCTATTTCTGAAGTGAGGTCTACTGATAAAATTTTATCATATAGATCTAAGCTAGGATAACCCCTCTTCATTTTAAATTCCGAATGTTTGCAAAATATTCTTATTCTCAGGAGATATTGCGCATGCGCGAGCACCGTTTCAGACGTGCAATACGGCCAAAGGAAAAGTACGTAAATAAAGCTTGCTGAGGGAGAGAGGGGTGGGAAACTGAGGGAAGGTGGCAGTGAACACACTCGAGGGACGGTGGAAAGAGAAGGCGGCTGAAGGTGCGACAATGGAGACAAAGGGAAGGGCGGGCGGCAAAATTTTTTTTCCCACTTGAGTTCCGGACCACAGCCAATCAGCGCACTCCATTCACTCGACTTCCTCGAAGCAACAATGTAAAATAAATACATCCTATCCCTAACCCTAACCCTAATCCTAACACGTACACGAACCTTAACACTAACTATAATCCAACCATATATATAAGAACCATTTATTACAAAACACTATCTATGGTGGGTCCGGAACTCAAGTGGGAAAAAAAATTTCGCGGGCGGGCGAGGATAAAGTAGGAGTTTTGCACCCTACAGGCTAGGGCGTTCTCCTTATGATAAACAGAGGCCTACTAATAAGAATTAATTACAGAAACCTATGTTGAGATATCCCCTGACAATACTAAATGCATTTTCATCATAAAATCAAACTCCTCTGGTGAGATATTGCGCATTCGCTAAAACAGTAACGTAGCCAGGTTATGTACTTAATGGTATATGCAGCGGGGAGATTACATGCAAGGGCTGCTTCCTATTTCTGAAGTGAGGTCTACTGATAAAATTTTATCATACAGATCTAAGCTAGGATAACCCCTCTTCATTTTAAATTCCGAATGTTTGCAAAATATTCTTATTCTCGGGAGATATTGCGCATGCGCGAGCACCGTTTCAGACGCGCGGTACGGCCAAAGGAAAAGTACGTAAATAAAGCTTGTTGAGGGAGAGAGGGGTGGGAAACTGAGGGAAGGTATCAGGGAACACAGTCGAGGGGCGGTGGAAGGAGAAGGCGGCTGAGGGTGCGACAATGGAGACAAATAGAAGGGCGGGCGGGAATAAAGTAGGAGTTTTGCACCCTACAGGCTAGGGAGCTCTCCTAACTATAAACACAGGTCTCCCGATCAGAATTTGTTACAGAAACTTGTGTTGAGATATCCCTTGACCATACTAAATGCGTTTTCATAACAAAATATAACTCTTCTGGTGAGATATTGTGCAAGCGCTAAAACAGTATCATAGCCAGGTTATGCACTGACTGATATATGAAGTAGGGAACTTTCATGCAAGGTCTGCTTCCTATTTCTGAAGTGAAGTCTACTTATAAAAATTGATCATATCAATCTATGCTAGGATGACCCCCCTTTATTTTAAATTCATAATTTTAGCAAAATATTATAATCTTCTCGGGAGATTGTGCGCATGCGCGAGCGCCGTTTCAGGCGTGCTGTACGATCTAAATAATAGTATGTAATATATACAATATGTATATACAATTGTACATATCTACCACAGATATCAATAGCTACTGGAGAACTAGCGAGTGCGTGCGTACTAGCCTTACATATTACAAGTCTACGTTAAATCCCTGTACATGCTTGTAGGATCGGATATGGAGTGACAAGATTCTGGAACTCGAGACAAGCAAATCATTTCAATATCCCTTACCTAGGGCACCTAGCAGTAGTATACGGTCGCGGTTCCTGTATTCAGTTTAGGCTATCAATCGGGAGTCATTTTTTATACTTTTTATTTTTTTGATTTAGTGGAGACAACACAAAATAATAATATTATAGAAGGGGCTGGAACATTATGCAGAAGCACATGTTCAAAAACCTGGGGGTGGGGACATTTGATATTGTGTCCCCACCCTTCGAAAAGTGGGGGGGGGGGACGTGTCCCCCGTGTCCCCATGGCATTTGCGCCCATGTGTATGGTCACATCTCACTTACTAAGGAGGCAATACACGTATGAAATATACTACCATTAGACACAAAAGAGCGCCCTTCACTTAGTACATTAAAAAACGGTTAAAAGGTAATTTTAACAGCATATTATAACAGGTAGGAGAATAATACATTTATTGTAATGTATTTTGGATAAATATATATATATGCACGTGCGTGCGTGTGTGCGTGCACGTATGTGTGTGATGTGTGTGAATGTGTATGTGTATATTAGTGGGGGTCATACGAGAGTGAGCGCGTGCGTGTGAGTACGTATGAGAGTTGAAATGATTTAAAACTGCATTTTACTTGTACAGAAAGTGCAGCTGTCGTTTTTGTATTATATTTTATCTTTATATTGTAGAGCGCTGTTTTGTACAGTAATACTCAAAAAATTACTATTGTAATCGTTCAACACTATTGCACCTATGAGATTCTTTCTCTATAACAGACACTTCAGTTTATGTGTATTTGTATACTACAGTACATGTATTTGTATATTATGTACAGCACATGTTTGAATTACATGCAATAAACATATAATAATGATGATGATTTTTACATATACATTACAAATACTGATGGCAAACACTATAGTGGCCTTCAAGCCCACCTTCTCAAAAATTGATAATTGTTGAATTTTATTATTATGGTTATATGGTTTTTCAGGGTGGCAGCAAAACCGCGGAGTATCTATGGCCGTATATAGAGATCTCTATAAGTTTGTGAGTATATGCTATTAGTTATGCACCTACTATCACAAGATGCTCTAAAAATTTGTAAGAAAGTATCCCTAGACAAGCCACGGTATGGGACTGTATCGTAAGCATCGTGTTATTCTAAGCTGCTATTGAGACGATGACGATAGCATATACATAGCCCGTATCGATATGAAGTTGTTAATAGTGCATTTATTGACATAGATATTCCATACTATTAATTTTCTAACAATCTTGACGTAAGATAACAAATTTAACATTACATGGTTTAACCTTTCTACAAACAAATTAAAACCGCAGATAAATTAACAAGTGAACAGAACAGAAACCAAAATGGCCTTATCAGGATTGAAAGCTGCTGTTGGGCAAAGTAAATTACTCAGTTTATCATAGATTTTCTTGTGATGTTTGTAGCTCTGGTTGGGAAAATCAAGTAACAGATCATCGTCTTTTCAAAAACTTTTAGTTATTTAGCTTGCACCGTGCACGTCGTTTACCGACGTCATTTTCAAAGGTCGCCCTACCCATCTTATTTATTTTTCCACCGTACCCTAGCTCTAGTACTATAGCCCGCGGATCGCTGCCGCAGGGCTATAGCACATGAGCGCATAGCTGTAATCTAAGCAAATGGTCGGACTGGTCTTAACAAAAATTTATCCCCAAAACGCAAAATGATCGGGCTTTTTAACACTTATCTATCAACATGGACATCTCACCTATCTTTTTGAACACTTACATACATAGAAGTGAGTGGCCTCGTCGGTCTGTGCCCCCCTTTTTTTTTTACCTCGGCGGCGGGAATTGATTGAAGTACCGGGAGGGACGGGGGGGGGGCACGATTGTGTCAGTCGTCAGTGGCATGCTATAAATCATACTAAAATGTAGGGGGCACCGCTTGGGCTATTGATGCCAGAGCTTATAGAAAAAACTCTTTTTCCTGCGAACTTGAGAAAGGCTACAATCGCGAATGACACCGAGCTGTGCCGGCACACAAAATAAAACGATGTGAATTTCATTACGATTTTCCATGGATTACCGTTCTTAATCCTTACGGGTACGTAGGCACGCCCGCAGGTGCACACCACACCAGCACGTGCACACGCACGCACACACAGGCACAGTGCGCAGGCCACGATACAAGCATGGTGCCATGAATCAGAGCAAGCAGCTCAGAAATACAGTAAGAACGCACTGTATTATTGATAGCCCCGACAAGTCGGGAGCCCATGCACAGCAGAGTAAAACAGTGTAAATAGACTGTAATAGTAGGTACTGAAAACCATTTTTTGAAAGTAAACTGACATAAAAACAAAGCCCTGCAATGTGTAGAGCTAAAAAAATGCAAAACAACGCAATTTAAATTATGTGTGTATCACTTTTAGTTACCGACATATGGAATTTTCAAGTTTCGGACCTCCGAAAACTTAGAAAACAAAGATGGCCGACAGCTAAATGTCAAGTTTGGGTCAATTTATAGCAAGCAAAGTGCAAATACATAGCTTAATCATTATTAATGTGCATATATTTGTTAGAGTCTCTGCTTTTGTGCACCAGAAAGCTAATTTAAAGCTTTGTTTGTTGTGTTAACAGATGCTGAACATGGTACCATATGCTGTTTTGTCACCGGCCGTAGATCCAAGCAGACGTGGGATGCATATTGCAGAAGCAATAAAATATATAAAGTGACAATTATCATCAAAGTGTTGCTTTTTTATCCTTATACTAGTTATGAAATATCATATTACACAGTTTCAGAGTGCTGTCTTGTTTGGATTTCATTTTACTACCTCTGAAAATCCAATATATATCAAATATGACCAATTTGTAATGTGAAATACATGATGAAGTACCATATTTACATAATCACAAAATGACTTTCTCCACTCACAGACATACACGAATACATTTTTATGTTCAATCTAGTCAATATAAGATACTCAATTTTTTTCTACACATTCTCTTCTTTTTTTTCTTTCTTTTTTTTGACTCAATTGGTTCCAAGCCTATTTTGCCACTTTTCAACTTCAAACGCAAAATCGGCGAAATTGGGAAATTTGACGAATTTCAAAATGATGTATCTTCCTAGTTTTCAAAAGTATCAACTTGCATATGCAATTAAATTAAAGCTTGTTCTAAGGGCTATGACCCTATTCACTAATAAATGCATTACACCTGTCTTGCAAAGTTCTAAGACTCAGTAACTGCCATGAGTTTTTATTATATGGAAGTAAATTGCCTAATTAAAATTGTTACAAAATCATGTATTTCCTTTGGTTTTGTCAGTACCAACTTGCATTCTTGATCAAATGGAAGCTTAAAGTAAAAGCAATAGCCCCAATTCACTTGTAAATGCAATACAAGTTACAGGCTTATACTAAAGTTATAGTTAAATTCAGTCAATCTATCATTCGCCAGTCGACTGGTTGGCAGCCATGTTGAAATTTGGATATCACTAAAGTCAGTTCTTACATGAAATGTAAATACATCTACAATTCATTCAGCCATAGAGGTGCTTCACTTTTTGGTATTTGTTGTTGATTGTGGAATTCTGTGGCACCATCCAAACCCTGCCATTTGCTGTTGAAACTTCGATGTCGGCGTCGAACACATGAATAGAGTCAATCTCC